CCCGGTGACCCTGGCGGCGCCGCCGGAGGCCCGGGGTTGCGGAGCGCCGGCCCCCACCCGGGAGTCTCCCTCGCGACGGGCAGGCCTCCGGTGTCTGGGGCCAGGGGAGAGGGGGCGGAGAGGGCGCGGGCGTGACGCGGCTCCTTCGCCGCCACCCTCTGGGGCGTCCTTCTTGCGGCGAGGACGCCCAGTCACTCCGCGCAGCTCCAGGCCGGGCGGGGGAGGGCGCCTGGCCGAGCGCGGCCTGCGGCCCTGGCCGGGCGGCGAGGGCGGGAGTGGGGAGGAGGGGACCGCTCGTTCCCGGGCGCTGCCCTCGGGGCCGCAGCTCCCGGAGGACGCGAGGGCGGAGGGTACGGCCCCCTGGAGAGCTGGAGGGAAGACGTCAGAGCGTTTGTGTGTCTGCGAATGGGGAAGACTCCGCGCCGGTCAGAGGCTCAGTTTGCCTTTCTTTCTTTCTTGGTCACAAAACCGGAGAAAGGACGGGAACTGCCCTGGAGTGCCTCTTGCGCTTTTTAAAGGGCTCGTGACCGAGGCGACTGGCCTCGGGCCCTCTGGCCATCCCTGTATCCGGAGGCACAGGTCCCTTTTTTCCCCTGGAGGGAGGGACGAGTCTAGGCATCCTGGACGGGGTGGTTGGGGCTGGGCCTTAGCCCTCTCGGGTGCCCGAGGGGCCAGGGGTGAAGAATCGTGGCATTGTAGTCACAAGACCAGCATTATGTAACTGCCGGCCCTCTCCTGGAGAGTAAGGTGGCTTTTAATTACCGTGACGAAGTTGTTCGTTGGACTTTGGGAATGAGGCAGCGGAGCAGGTGAGCTGCCGGCAAAATGGTGCCATTTTTATACTTTGACTTCGTTGTCTGTGCAAGGTCCCACCCCCACCTATGGATTTGTAAACAGTGCCCCCTTCTGAGTGGTAATCTGGAATAGGCCACCAGGTGCCACTGTATTTCTTCACTTATAAAGCCTTGTAATAACCTTCCCGTACTGCTGTCATACCTTTGCTCAGAGCCCATGGAGGTGGCCCCATTTATGTCGTTTCAGACCTTGTTTTTTTTTAAATGAAGATGTTTCTTTGCTCAAGGTCATATAGCTAGTCAGGCCTTGGCCAAGGTTCACCTGACCTTTTCTCAGCACCTGAGGGCCCTCAGAGACTCCTTCAGGCTCAGGCTTTTCCCTCTCCGGGGTATAGAAGTGTAGAGGGTACTGATCTGCTGACCCTATGCTCTAACAGTGACTGCTGAAGTGGAACCAGCCCGGTTTGACAGGGCCAGGTGAAGGTGTTTTGGATCCAGGCAAGGGCTAAAGGCCTGTGGAGCATGGGTGCATTTTTACATCTGGTGCAGGCTGAAATAGTGTTCTTGAGTTCTGCTTTTCGTTTCATTTCATCCAGTCTGAGTGTAGACTTAGAGATCATAGTGGCTTGGAATGATACCAGGAATATGTCCTGGAGCAGACCGAATCTACACAAGAGATGTTGTATAGCAGGTCCTGACTGACAGTGTCTTTTGTCCATTGGGTTGGGTCACATACACAGTAGTGCTAGGGGGAGATGGAATGAAGGGGATTATTACTGCTCTGGATGGTAAGATGTGGTTGAGAACAGAGGGCAGGGTTTTTGCAGCTTATGCCCTCTACTGCTGCAAAGTATCTCACATACTGTAGACTGTCAGGCAGGGCTTCCTCTCATCTCAGGAACGTTTGTAGGTGATGTCTAGGTGTTGTGATTGTACAGGATGAATGCCATGGCCCAGGTGACAGGGATGTGAAACAGGGCTTTTAAAATAAAGTTCTTTACCTTTCTCAGGTGCTTTTTTTTTTTAATCCTCTATATCCAGGTTTTTCTCAACCCTTTGTTGTTATTTAGGGAAAAGAAGGTCTCATTCCCATAAGGAAAACAAGTTATTCTCTAACATATCCTTTGACTTTACCTCATAGGTTGGTATCTTTTGAATGAGTAAATTTTACATGAGCCAAAACTCCAGGGAAATGACAACTCATTGTTGGAGCTGAGTCCAAAATCTGGAGCTTTCAAAAATTACATTGAGCTTAAAGACTGAACATTGTGAAGAGAGTGGGGAAGTAGAGGGAAGGATGAGATGGCATGGCATGTGTGAATGATCAGCTGAGTCTAAGGCTGCCCCAGCTTCTCTCTTTCTTAGGGGCATGGCAGCCCTGGGTATTTGAGTGAAGGCTATTACCTCTTCACTGGACATTGGTGGTCCAGAAGGTATTCTGCCCCTTTTTTTGTTTGTATAGAACAGAGACTGGCAACTTTTTTTTTTTTCTGTGAAGGGCCAGCTAGTAAATATTGTAAGTTTTAGGAACCGTACATTCTTAAAACTGTTCAACTCTTATCACTGTAACTTGTTCCTACAGAATTTTATTTTATGAAAACATAGTGGCCGAATACTTCCTCCTTCAGTACTCCCCTCTCCCACTGAGGCTTCTCACCCAGCAGCTTATGTTCATTGGCTAGAGCATGGAGTTGTCAGCCTCACCTCTCTGCTCCTTCTGCAGTGTCACGATGTCTGACCGGAAGGCAGTGATCAAGAACGCAGACATGTCTGAGGACATGCAACAGGATGCTGTTGACTGCGCCACGCAGGCTATGGAGAAGTACAACATAGAGAAGGACATTGCTGCCTATATCAAGAAGGTATGCCCAGAGAGCTGTGGCTGGTAGCCAAGGGTTGGGGCTTGGCAGCTGTGTTGTACTCAGGCAAGGGCTGGAACCAGGGACATACCAGGTATATTCCATGCACACAAAAGTCTAGGAATTTGCAACGCAGGCAATTTAGGGAATGATCCTAAATTGCAAAAGCATTTAGCTTAGGAGTTCTTAATGGGAACTCCTGTTTATTTACATTTACAGATAATTATATGACTGTAAGATATTGTGGAAAGGTAAGACTTGGCAGAAAAGCTTAAGAATTAAATATTACTGGCCCTTTCAGAGCTATCCAAAGATAGTTGAATAAATAATATAAGATTATGTACAGACTTTCAAAAAACCGCATGATTTTAAAGTTAGCTATTCTTGCTGGGCATGATGGCACATAACTAGAAACCCAGGACTCAGGAGGCTGAGGAAAGAGGATTGCTATGAATTCAAGGCCAGCCTGAACTACATAACAAGACGCCAGCCCAAAAAATTAAAAAAAGTTTGATACCTTATAATCTTCATGTTATTACATCATTCCCTTTTCCCTCCAATCTTAAGGAAAAGATGGGCTTAAACATAGAACCATCATTTGGTTTCTGTGGGGAATTAGATCCAGGATCCCCCTAAGATACCAAAATCCACAGATTCTTACATACCTTCTATAAAATGGACTAGTACTAAAAAAAAAAAAAAAAAAAGGACTAGTACTGCACATAATGTTGGATCATTTGCCAGGCATGGTGGTACACACCTGTTGCAAGAGTTCAAGGCCAGCCTGTGCTACAAAGTGAGTTCAAGGCTAGCCTGAACTGCATAGTGAGACCCTGTCTCAAAAAAAAAAAAATTCTGAATTACTTATGATTAATGTAACAGCCATCTAAATAGTTATACTATGTTGTTGAGGGAATAATGACAAGGGGGGAAAATTTGTACACATTCAGTACAGATATTTTTTTCCTGAATATTTACACCCCATGGTTAGTTGATTTCTCTCTTTTTTTGTGAGTGGGACACTGGGAATCAAACTCATGACCTCATGCTTGCCAGGCAGGCGCTTACGCCACTGAGCTATATCCCTGGCCACAACCCCATGGTTAGTTGAATCCATGGATGTGGAACCCATAGATACAGAAGAATGATCTTTTTTTTTTTTTTTTTTTTTTTTTTTTGAGACAGGGTGTTTCACTATATAGTTCAGATTTGCCTTGAACTCACTGTAGTCTGGATTGGCCTTGAACTTGAAGCCATCCTCCTGCCTCAGCCTTCTGAGTGGTGGGATTAAAGCCAGGTACCACCATGCCCGGCACTGTATACTTTTTTTTTTAAGAGGATGATCAGTATTGAGGTGGTAGCTTTGGTCCCTGAAGAATTCCTAAGTGAGTGGGTGAGTAGATAACGATTAATATTGTGGGGAGCCAGCTGAATCAGAAACATAAGAAGGGGCTAACCTGAGTTCCTTGGTTCCCAGTCTGGACTTGTCTACTTGAGGAATAGTCCCAGTGTTTGAAAGTCTCAGTTCTAGCATCCTAAGAAGGATATGTGAGAGTAGTGACAGTCTCGTCCATGGTCTGGTCCATTGTCAATAGGATCATCTTCGAGTTTTACAGAACTTTGTTTTCCTGCCCAGATGGATCAGATGAGAAGAGGAAACTCTCAAGTCCTGAGAAACTTTTTTGTGTATGTGGTGCCAGGGGGTGCATAGCCAGTTGAGACTGCTGGCTCCTTGCTATGTGATGGCCTTGCTATCCATCCGAGGAGAGAATGCAGAATTACACATGCAGAGCCAGAAGAATCTTTAGATTATCTGGTCCAACTTTCTTGTTCTACTCATGGGAAAAATGAGACCCAGGGAATGACATGGCTGTCCTGCATTACACAGTCTTGATCTGGGATTGAAGCTGGGTTTGGTTCCCTTGTCCTTTAGTACCTCTTGGAGTTGTGTGGAATGGGGATTGTGAGGAGACCAGACAAATTGCATGTTGAGCACCCTGTGGGACAAAGAAAGATGCCCCTAAGGTTGGCAGCATTGATGGGCCCCTGGTGGAGAGTTGCTGCCCTTTCTCAACCATGGCAGGGGAATGCTTCTAGAACTGAGCCTATGGGTGGAGCAGTAAGGTCATAGGAAGCTGCCTGTCTTGATTAGCTCACAGATTTCCTGGGGGGTTTTGTGCTTCTGATAAGAATGAAGGCATTGCCTTGCTGTCATAGCTGAGGTCCTTTTTCTGGTGCATGTAGCCCACATAGGGCACATGGAATTGCTGTTGCTCTTGAGTTATGTAGAACTGGTTTCTAGTACTGATGTTTAATCCTCGTTTCCTCTGGTGTCTCAGTTTTTGGCGTTGGAAAATTCTGATTTAGTAATGGGACTGGCAGTAGGTAGCCAGTCCCTGTGCCGTCTGCTGGAACGACCGTTCATTCCACTGGCCTCCCTGATCAACTCGTTGGAAGAATCCCAGGGTGGGCAAGTGGTGGTGTGAGAGGGTGGAGTACCTAGAGGGAGAGAGATGATCAGGTGTAGCTTGCTAGAGGCTTGGCAGGGAGGAATAATGGAGTCTTTGTGGTATTCCATTATTGATGAGGGGAAGAGGTGTCCAAGCCAACCTTAGAACCTGAGCTCCTGAAGTTCAGGAGCTGAGACGCTGGGGGTGGGGTGGGGTGGGGTGGGGTGGGGTGGTAAGGTAACTAAATGTGTGAGTGCTGGGATTGTGGGGAGAGACTCCCATGCTGACTTCTTGTCTTCCAGCTACCTTAATCACCTTTCTTCTCCCTCTTTATTCTTTTTTAGGAATTTGACAAGAAATATAATCCTACCTGGCATTGTATCGTGGGCCGAAATTTTGGCAGCTACGTCACACACGAGACAAAGCACTTCATCTATTTTTACTTGGGTCAAGTTGCAATCCTCCTCTTCAAGTCAGGCTAGGTGGCTGTGGTGAAGGTGTCAGTGGTGGCAGCAGCGATGGCAAGCAGGCGGCGTTGCTGGGACTGTTTTGCACTGGGGCCAGCATCAGGATGTCCTCTCCAATGGCTGTGCTACTGCATGGACTGTATACTCGATTTCATGTGTATGTCGCAGTAAACAAAACCAAACTTCTTTCTGTTTAGTTGCCTGGGGAAGAAGGCTGCTTTACGTTTATTTTTCAAGACTTAAAGAAATTTTTTTTGGTTGTATTGCACTAGGAAAATTGTCCCCCACCCCCCTTTTTCTCTTTCTCTCCCTATACAGAATAAGAAGCCCTCAACCATGCCCAAAAGACCAGGAGGGCTGAGGAAAAGAAATAGGTCTCTGGAGGTGGAACTAAAGTTGTGCAGCTGTCTTTTCCTGGTGGGGAATGCTGCTTTGGGAGGGCCGGGAAGGCTCTGAGGGGACAATGTTAGGAATGGCAAGGAGAGAAGGATAGAAAGGAGGGTGAGGGGGTTGATCTAGTACCAGGGAGAATATTCCACTGAACTGTGATTTTACGGCTTGGGGCAGAGGGTGGGTGGGGGTGGGTTCTTAAGGGGCCCTGCGATGTGTCTGTGGTGTGTGGGAGTGGGGAGCAGACTTATCTTGCTGTGTCTGTCAGGATTTCTAAGTAAGGGCTGTGTCTTTGTGGATTACCTTCTTTGATTCTTCCTGCCAGAGATTGTGCTAGGAGGATGTTGGGGGTAGAATTAGCTTGCCTTTTCTTTTTCTTTACATTCTTCTCTCCTGTCTGCTCCCTGCTTAGCCCTTGGTTTTCTCATTCCTCTGAAGTTCTCTTAGAACAGCCCCTGTTGTTAGTTGGCTGGCAAGGGAATTTCTGGTGACTGTAGTTCCTTAGTTAGGTCTTAGTGATCAAACCGAGTCAGTGTCTCCCTTGATTCTCCTTTGTGTTGTATGTGTGTGTGTGTGTGTATGTGTGGGTTTAGGGGAGGGGGGAGGGGGCAAGACAGGTGGAATCTCTAAGGTGTATGGGTAGTAGGAAGCACAGTTAGTGCTAAGTGGGCCTTTATGTTAAACACCTCTGGGGGTGAAGACAAGTGTCACCACCTTCTCAGTCATTTAGCCCAGACACTAGTTGCCCTGTGGCTGTCTGCTTCCTGAGAAGGCTTTAGGTGGGCCACTCAGGACATGATGGCCATGCTGCTGACTGTCCTGGAGCTGGGTCCCAATGGAGGAAGAAGTGAGTTTTTTGAACAGTTTCGGCCTTTGGTGGGAGGTAAGGGTGGAAATAGTAAAGGGCCAAGAGGGTCTTTGGAGGTCAGTTTGTAGTGATGGAGTCCCAGATTTCAGGAGATGGAGTAAAGCTGTGAGCAGGTGGAGATTCCAGGGAGGATGCAGGGGAAATCTTGTCTGTTGATGACATAGGAATGGGGTGGGGGGCGGGGTGGTCATTGCTGTTTGAGCTGCTGACTCTCATGACTCACATTCAAAACTCCCATGTGTAGGGTTGACACTGGGGGGTGGGGGAATCCAGCTCTTTTTTTTTTTTTTTTTTTTTTTCCCATCCATTCTTGGAGCTAGTGGGGAGAACGGAGAATGTGCCCTCCCCAAGCCCTTAGTGTGTGTTGAGCTTTCCTTTCAGTGATAGGGGAGGGTAGAAACTGGGGTGGTGACTGAGTTCTCTGTATGATGCCCTTCGGTGGGTACAAGATTGTTTGATTTTAGGTTTTATTTTTTATGAATGTCCAAATCTGTGTTGCCCCCTGCCCATCCAGACTTTGTGTGGCCAGTTGAAAGTGTCTGGTTTGTGTTCATCTCCCTCATTTCTGGAGCAGGGCCTGAGACCCTGCCACATCTCCTATGCTCTGCATCCATGCCTCTTTTGGACATTAAAGGTTGATTGATGCACTCTGTGCTGTTTCAATTTCTTTGGGGTTGAAGAGTTGGCCCGGTGACAGTGGTGCCACACAGTGGGTGGGAGTGGAGGTATCTAGGATGGAGTGGGATGGGAATTGAAGAGAACACTAGGTAGGAGATAGAGTTGGCCTGAAGCAGGATTTATTTGTAGGGCCCAGGCTTATCTTAGGCCCTTAAGTAGGGTGGAATGAACAGCGGCACCCAGAAGGGTTCCTGGGTCCTACCTGCCTTTGGGATGGCCAAGTGAGCCACATTGGGCAGCTTTGGTGGGGTAGATGCTGCTGTCCTGGACCTGCCTAAGCTTGTCTTCTTAGAACCTCTGGCTGAGGTTTGTAGCCTTCCTCCCTGTTCTAGGCTTCCCTGAACCTGGAGACTGGCTCTGGTAATCAAGTTCTCTGTTCATTCGGAAAAGCTGGAGCTGCTCAATGGGTTGAAAGTGATTCTGTGTCTTCTTGGGGTTACCCTACTTGTTCTGCTTGGAGGTTCCTGCCCCCACATACACCTGGAGAAATCAGTAATACCAAGACACGTGAGTGTCCACTTCTGGGAGTATAGGCTGTTAGTTACTGTCTCAGGTTGCTGGCCATGGTCCTTCTGGAGGTGCTAAGGAACTTGATGTATATACAATAATCATTCACTCAAAAACATACTGAGTTCTCATGTGGTTGGGCCTAGAATGCTGTTCACACAGAATGAGACACAGGAAAGTCCAATGCTTCTGTGGTATATGCATTCTAATAGGTGGAGCAGATGCAGTGTTGGTGAGCTTTTCCCAAAAGTGGTAAATGGGTTATCAAGGAAGTAAAGTGGGCCATGAGCTATTGGATATTGGAGGTACGTAGACAGGATTCCTTCAGCTAGGGAGCTGGCAGGGTGTGGGGAAAAGGCTCTACCTCTACGGCAATGAGGTCTTAAGGGATTAAGGCAGGACTGTAGAGCCAGCTTCTGCGCTGCCTTTGTTACGTAGATGAGTAATTTGACAGAGCCGGAGCCTTACAGGGAGGTGACACGTTCATAGTTCATCTGGGATGATGAATGTCTCTAAAACTCACGTACCAGCCCCCAGTTTGTGGAGTCTCAGAGGCAAAGGGCATGAGGATGGACCACAGAAGGGGCTGTGGAAGGCAGATGGGAATTGTGGAATCTCACAGAAGGAGGCAGCTGCTCTACTGACATGGCAGGGAGTGGGAGTATCACTATCTCCACTTCTTTCTTTACCCTGTTCTCCAATCTGGGATCTCCATTTAGGCGACCCCAACCAAAAGGTGAAGACAAGGCTGGCCCATGGGCGTAGTCTGTGGGGGTCAGTCCCCTTCCCCCCAGAGAACAGCAGAGAAGAGAAGGGTGCATAACCAGCATGGGAGGGAATTGTCTTCTTGTCATGGTGCTATTGGTCTCTGTCCCTGAACCCTTAGTGGCCTCTAGCCTGGGTCTATGGTGTGACTGTTCCCTAATGTATTTGCTCACTTCCTTCATGTCTGCTGAAACATGAAGGCTCTCTTCCGGCATCTCGCCATCACTGTTAACTTTACCCACTTTAATTCCTCAGAGCACCTGCCAACCATGCTTCCGTATTTGTTTACTTGTCCTCCCACGACTATAATATAAGCTCCAGGAGATAATTTTCTCTTTTCTTAATTTATTTTCAAGCACACAGTGCAGTGCCTGTTTTGTAGGAAGTGCTTGATAATTTAACAACTGGTCAAAGCAAAAGAGAGCCTGCAGGGGTCGCCTGGCCTTTCTTGCAGAGACTTCTGCTGCCGCCTTGGTTATTCTTGCTGGCCAAGCCCTGTGTGTTTCCTGCTGAGAAGGGTCTCTACTCAAGTGTGAGGGTCTCTACTCAAGTGTGTTCAAGCCTCTGGTGGGAGAATGATATTGTGTGGTCATAAGATGCATTTCAGAATTAAGGCATTACAGCTCATTTGTATCTCTGAACCCTTAAGAACACCTCTCTAGGCTCAACCCACGGTGATTAGCCACATTTTGGGATAAAGCAAACAAACCAGAGTATGAGTGGCTTGCCAAAGCCCACATAACATTGCCAGAGCTCAGCACTGTGATGCAGAAGGCTCTAACTGGGTTGAACAGCAGGGGCCTCCCTAGCACTCCTTAAGATTTACACCCAGCCCAGAGTTGAATCCCTGGTTACCACTCATTGCTTTTCGTGGGGCTCTGCTTTGGCAAGGGTAGGGAGGAAAATCTGTCTCTCCCTCCTCACTCCTCCTCAGTCCCAAGGATGGGGGAGTTGCTCTTTCTTCTGTTAGGGCTTATGAGAGAGATAATGAATCTGATCTTAGGAGAGCAGGCTCCCTGAGTTGTGATTTCTTAGGCGCCCCCTCAACTAAGGGCGCAGCCTCCTTATCACCCATGAAGAGGTCAAATGTACCTGTGTGACTGTTTGTGATGTATGTGAGCTTGGTGTCCGCACTGACGCACATGAACACTCGTCTCCACAGACTTCCATGTGCCAATATAGAGAGGGTCATGAGACCAAAGGAAACCTTCAGTGCTCTCATTTTGTTCAGACAAGGGGTGTGACATTTGTGGTGGGGCTTCTGACCATTGCTATCTTAGACTTCCTAGAGAGAGAGGCCAAACAAAACCAGTGTGATGGTGTGAGCAGAATACAGGACCTAGAATCAAGGCCTAGGATTGAGTCCCAGCTCCAACACTCACAATATGAACTTGGACAAGTTGACAAGTTGCGTGACCTCTCTGAGCCGCAACTCTATCACCTATAAAATGGAGATAATTCTGCCTATCCCAAAGGGGAGTTATGAGAATAAAATGACTTCATATGTATGAAAGTGCTCTGAAATTGGAAAAGGATGACTAAAGTGAGGATGAAGGTACTGATTATCAGAATGTCAGTAAAGCTTGGGGAAAGAATAAAGGAAACAGAAGTTCCCCTTGTACCCGCTTCTACCAGGCTTCTCCCTTCCCGCCCAATTGCATACATTGTAGGGAAGGAAATTAACTTACCTAAGGTCAAATGGACGTTGGGGAAAAATGGAATGTACAGCTTGGTCTGATTTGTGTATCAGAATTCTCAGGAAACAACTGGTAGGATATCTGTCTTGCCTATCATCTGTATTTATCTTTCCATCACAAGGAACTGGATTATGCAATTGTAGCTGGCTAGGCAAGTTCAAAGTGAGGAGGACAGGCTTCAAGGAAGGGGAAGCTGGGGCTCTCAGGCAGGAGCCGACACTGCAGTCCATGGTGGAATTTCTTTGGAGGGGCCTCAGGCCTTTCAACTGGACAGATCAGGCCTACCCATGTTACCCAGGACAGTCTCCTTGGTGTAAAGTTAACCAACTGCAAACATAAGTCATATCTACAAAATACCTTCACAGCAACACCTAGATTTACTTTTTATTTTATTTTTTATTTTTATTTTTTGTCTTTTTGAGACAGGGTCTCACTATGCAGTTCAGGCTAGCCTTAAGCTCACTTTGTACCCCAGGCTGGTCTCAAACTTGCAATGATCCTCCTGCCTCAGCCTCCCGAGTGCTGGGATTACAGGGGTGCACCACCACGCCCAGCTAGATTCACTTTTTAGAAGTAGGTACTTAAGCCAAGCCAATCTGCCACAAAACTGAGCATCACAGTCAATATCTCAACATCTCCTTAGCCATACCCAATCTGCAAAGTTGATAACATGCTCAAATTTATGCCTATCATGTTATAGTTATTCTGGGTACAACTGAAAATGTCTAACTTCCCAGAAGAGGACTCAAAGTTCTTGGGTAATGTTCTCTGTTCTACTTGATTATCCAGTAACTTCAATAGTGGGACGTGAAGTTAGCTATTACTGACATACTTTATATTTGATGAAATATAAAGGAGATAACAGATGAAAGAAAACATATATACAGTATAAACATACAAATAACACTCATAACAAAATAAGTGATAAGTGCCCATTGCTTTCATCTCTACACCGGCCCTATGACTATAGCTGGTATTTATAACAACCTTCTTCTGAGACTCATTCTGTATTTCCTCTGCCCTCTGCAGGCACCTCAGAGCTGGTTGTGGCTCTTTGTCTGGTGGATTGCCCCCAAACCTCTTTTGCTGAAAGGGCTGGGACATTAGGAGTCTTTTCTGATTTGGGTCATCAGTTTCCATTGCCTCTAATCACAGGACGCAGTTGAACTAAGAGACACCTGAAGGGATCCTTCATATTCTAGATGCAATTTGTTTCCTCCATTGCGCAGGCCTTCAAGTCTCTGGCTTCTCCATCTGCCACCGACGCCTCAGGTACCATTGGTCCGCTGGATCACGTGGCTCCCGTGGCAGAGCAGCCTGCGCAGGGCCCAGACCTGTGGCAGAGCCTTCTCTTCCCCTGGGACCCTCCCCAAACCAGCAGCACTTTGGGGCACTCAATAAACATAGCACACTCAGTAGTGTACACATGAATGGTGAATACGTTGTTTCCACAGTCCAAAGAGGAGCTAGGTATGGTCATGCGTGCTTGTAATCCTAGCACTGTGGGAAGCTGAGACAGGAGGAGTTTCAGCTTAGCCTGGGAAATTAGTGAGATCCTGTCTCAAGCAAACAGCAACAAAAAAAAAAGAGATTTGGCTCAGTACAAAGACTCTGAGTGCAATCCCAGTACTGGAAAAAGAGTCCAAAGAGGCCCAGCAAATGCTATGTATCTTTTAAGGTTATATGAGAGACCAGTAAAGTTTTCCCATAGAAGGGAAATTTTGACATGCCCCACACTGCTAGATCCCTAGAAGTTTCACAGGTATAAATTATCTAGAACCGGGGAGAAGCCCTGGGTTCAATTCCCAGTACTGAAAAAAAACACCTATATAAAACTTGCAAGAGAATGTGCTTGTTGTGTCAAGCCACTAGATTTTGTGGTAATTTGTTATGTTCAGTAGCAGGTTTGTAAAGATACATGTGAATAAGGGAATATATATCAAATGTTAGCTCATAGTAGAACACCATAATATATACCAGTTATCTAAATACTTCTTAATATT